CCACCCTGTCTATTTAGATGCCAGGTAGATTTTTAAAGAAAAAACACTAGTGTAAGAGAATGTCCATATGGCTTCCTCTCCCTTAAGAAAGCAGATAAGAATTCTGCAAGGAAGGGGGGGCTGCAGGTCAAAGAGATGTGTTATCAGCCCCTCTCCCTGCCACCAGGTGCCTCACTGATGGAAATGTATCTAACAGGGTCTTGGTGGTGTGTCAAGAGAAGTAAGAATGACACACTGGGCACCATGTCTGTGCAATACAAAGCAAATGTATGAAGAATAAAGAGACTTTATCTTCCTTTTCTGCTTTATGTCTACCTGAATCTTCTCTATTAATCGTTTTCTGTGTGATTCCCTGCTGTTGGTTGTGCAATACTTGAAAGATATTCACTAAGCAAGATAATTTAATCATACAAGTAAAAAAATACACCTTTAACTTGAAAATATCTTAAAATTCAAATGTAATTGCAAGGATGTGACCATGGAAGTTGATTATGTTTAATCAGTTCTATGAACAATTCTACACTTGACATGATGTGATTCATGTAACTAATTCAGATGCAATTTTACAACAGTGAGCACAAGAACAGAGAACAAAACACCTAAAACCACTAAAAGATTAATGAGGGGCATGTGTGATGCTTGTCTCAGAATAAGAAATATACACTGTACATAATATTTATAGAGTTAAATTGATTTAAAAAAAAAACAAATAAAAGGGGTATGCTATTTTAAAAATATAAAAAATAATGAAATAACGATATTTTACTGAATACGGGTTGAATAATGGTTCAAATCTTACCTCACTGATCACTGTCACTTTGTCTCTCTTAATGGGTACAGGTCTGATATTGGTCTTGTTAAGTCTGGTGTCCCTCAGTGCTCAATACTGGGCCCCTTGCTCTTCAGCATTTACATGTTCCCTCTTGGTCAACTTTTAAGATCACATGACCTCAGCTTTCATTTTGACGCTGACAATACTCAAATATACATCCATACCAAACCTGATACTGACGTGGCTGTCTCTATTCTATCTAATTGCATCTCTGACATAAAAATTTGGATGACTCAAAACTTCCTTCATCTCAACTGTGACAAGACTGAAGTCATGCTTATTGGTACCCCCATCAACTCCCTATAGCCAGTCCTGTAACCCTGTCTGTAGATGGTTCTCTACTTGAGCTCCAATCAAAATTAAAAAACCTTGGGGTTATATTCGATCCTGGCTTAACATTCGACCCACATGTGCAGCATACTGTCAAAACATCGTTTTTCACCTTAGAAATATCACAAGACTACGCCCTATGCTATCATTAACTGTGGCTGAAAAGCTGATCAACACATTTGTATTCTCTCGAATTGACTACTGTAATGCTCTACTCGCAGGGGTATCAAAATCTACTCTGAACAAACTGCAGTATGTCCAAAATTATCAGAGAGTCACCCTCTCTAAACTCCTTCAAATCCAGACTCAAAACCCTCTTCTTCAGAAAAGCCTTTACTATACTGGTTCCATTCTTCACCCCTCTGCTCTTCTTAGTACCACCATCCTTGGTCTCCCCTATATATTGTAATTGTGTCTTATCTTGTGTATTATCCTTATTTATTGTTATACTCTTCTTATTTATTGTTATTTTCATCCTTTAAAGCGCTTTGAGAAGCCACCTTTAAAGGCACTATATAAAATAATGTTTATTATTATAGTTTATTATTACTGCATTTCAAAATCAGAATTAGGATAAACTAATCTAATTACTTGATAGCATGATCTAAGCTATCAATACATTACACGCATGCAGTTACAGTTATGTTCTTATAAAATAAGTAACAGAAAAGAACTGGTCAACATACGTGTTTCTTAATTCAATAGACAGGCACTAAGCACAGAGATGTACAGTGACAGACTGCGCCATTACAATCACTTCACCCCTTGTAAGAACAGACAAGTTCCTCAGTCCTTCCCAGCACCTTTCCTTAATCCTTCTAATTCTCCCTTTGGTATGCCTGCTTCTGTCCAATCTATTCTCTTTCTTTTTTCAACCTGATGCTCTGGTTTCACGGTTGATTCTGAAGAAGCTAACTTTGTCAGTGCCTTTGAGGATTTTGAATACTTGATCAGATTCCCTCACAGTCTTCTCTGTTCAGTTACACACTAAAAGGTTCAGTTCCTTCGGCCTGACAGTGTACAATATCCATTTAAGACCCAGAATGTATCAGGCTGTTCTTCCAGAGCTTTAGTACCCTAACATGGTGTTTGCCTTTGTTCTTGATTCTCCACACTGTCTAGAAGATGTAAATGATGTCCAATCATACTGTAAATATATATATATATTGTCCATAAGTAGCTTTTTCTAGCTCAGTTTCCTATTTTGAAGGAATAGCTTGTGTTTTTTATTACCTCTATGCAAACTTTAAATTTACCTAAATATTTTTTAATTGAATTTTATGCTTTGACAGTGTTTGCTATTCTACCAGCTGTTGCAAAACTGTCTATGTTACTAACTATACCAGAATCTGAATCACTGATACATGAGGAGCAGCAGTGGTCCTAATACAGATCCTGGTGGTACTAATGACATCACAATTTAACAATTTACCACTATACTCTCTGTTTTCGATTAAGCAATTCTCAATCCAAACACATACATTTACTCTTCTGCCTGTAGTTTGTAGTTTTCTCATAAATTTTTAATGAAACTTTATTCTGAAAGCCTAAATATTGCATGCTCGTGTGTATCGGTTAATATTCATGTATTCTGAACTTCCTTCGTCAATACCTGCCTTTTCTAAAGCCATGTTGACTATCCTCTAAGATCCTATTTCAATAGAGCTCATCCTCTAGTTTGTTTTTTATACTACTTTCCATAATTTGACATGTAATAGACTTCAAGATGTATTACTTATAATAAACTTTATTACTTAGTTCAGCTATGTCACCTTTCTTGTGGATGACCACTGCCTTAGCAATTCTCCAGTCTCTGGGCCCTGCTCCTGTCTTGAAACAATACATGGAAGAGGATCAATGGTGTCTTAATGACACCTTTTGTTTCCTTGAGTGCAACTGATGTGATACCATTGGGCCCAGGGCATTAATCAATCTTGAGTGCTTCCAATACCTGAACCAAATCTGCCTCTTCGATTTAACCCAGACCTTTGGCCTTTGTGCCGATTGAGGCATGTTGTTGACTTCTTCCTCAGAGAACACCAGAGTGAAATATTCAAGTAGTTCATCAGACATTTCTCTTTGACTCTCCAGAAGTTCGATGCTGTAATACTGAAATTACCTTTGTTTCTTTATTTAGCCCCCATAATCTGCCTGCTGCTTCTGTCTCCAGCAGTGTCCTTACAGCATGGGCTGTGTTGCTGTTGCCCTGGGTCCCAGCTTCTGTCCAGCTACCCCCATTAGCTTTGCCCCTTGCAATTCTGTCTCTGCCCTCAATACTGACAACCCACTCCAAAGGCTCAGACAACAGGAGCCCTTTCTGGTCTTTTCTAGCTGAGCTGTGGCAGCCCCAGCAACCAATTCCCATCTCAATATCTATGTAGAACAGACAGTCATGGGATCGAGTCTCTAGTGTAGGCATTGATGTTTTGGCCTTAAAATGTCCTTTTCTCTCACTGCCTCCCACACCCCAGCTGTATAAAGTCTGTAAAATCAAGGAGGTCTCTAAAAGTGTCTTTACTGTTGTTCTTATTTTGTGTTCTGGTTATGATGATCAGGGCTGTTCTCTGAAGCGAGGGATAAATATGCAACTGTGACCTCAGGGAATACCCACATTAAACTTCAATGAATCACTAAACATGATTATTACTGGATACATTTTTACATCCACATCTGATAAATATTCAAAATCAGAGTTATTCCTAGTATCATTTTTGTTAGAAAAAAGAACAAATACACATTTAAGACAAAATTTAAGGCAAAAATGATTCAAATTAATTCTCTGTATGTAATGACAGAAATATAATTCTGCTTTATAATTTTCGTTTTTTATGGTATGATTAACATTATACATAAAATGTAAAGTGAAAGTTTGGACTATGTGCTCTCAGATATAAAAGACTGATATTATTGGAAATAACAAAATTGAAATAAAGATCTGATGTAGTACTTTAATATGGTAAAAGACTGTAGTTGTGGCTACATGGAAATATAGTCTAAATTTAAACTTTCTATATACAATAAGGTCCAAATATTTCCTACATTCAAATTTAGAAAACCTAAAGTTTAGCAGCTTTGAGGAATCTCGAATGATCACACTTGGTGAAAACCCTTTGATTATCTGTGAAACATTATACACGTTTATTAATCAGTCAAAACATTGTGACTCCGTCACAGCTGTTATGCCAGTTGATCACATTAGGTGCTTTACACACTCCTTATTATAAAGCTTTTGCATTAATAAAGTCTCAAGCACTCAAGTTTGATGTTTCCTATAAATTCATTAAATGCTTTGAATATTCTTAGCCTTAGTTTATCCTGCAAACTCTGCTCCCTGTTGTTACAGTACCTGCTGTAGAGGGACCAATGGCAACCACACAGGTGTGTGCTTTTGCCTGGGCTTCTCTTTCCAAACATTGGCAGCCCTGGCAGTGCCCCTCTGGGCCTGCTCTTTTCACACAAATGCGACTGGCAGGGTCACCCTCTCCCTGCTTCCTCTGGTCTGCTTCATTACCAAACATACAGGGAGCAGACAGCTACAGCTGCAGCCTCCTAAACACTTTGCTGGTTCAAGACCTAGTGAGGCACACTAGGGAAACAGAATGTGGAATTTGTGGGAAATTAGCAAAAATCCCAATTTGTCTGATTGCATAATAGAAACACACAGCAAAGTCTGGGCTGGCAGCATTGCTTTGCACCCTTTTATTAAACCATGTAAACAGTAATCACAGCTCTCCTTGGAGATCCTATATTCAGAGATAATGCAGACTGCACCGAATGTTTTGTTTATATTTTGCTAGAAAGAAAACAACTATCAAAACCGGGTTTTGTGGATATTTACCAGCAAGAGCTCGCTTGCGGCTGCGCATAGCTCCACAGCCTGTGCAGAGAGTGAATTTTGACCAGCTGGTGAAGGTGCAGTCATCTCTGCAGGGTACTCTACACTCCCTAACCTGCAGGGGCATGGTGCCAGCCCACTGCAAGCATTCGGTCACATCGCCATCTTCTCCGTCATCTCTCACACACGTCACACCTGAAATGGCCAAAGGAGGATGATTTTTGTTAGAGACTTTCAAAACTTCAGCTCTGGGACCTCCATATAGACCTATCAAGCCATCATGCAATTCAGAGACATGAGTGTATCTGGAAGTCATAGTATATCGTATTTATTTAGGACAGATTGATTATCTGACATGGAGAAAAGTAATCTTTAACACAATAACCTGTGCATCCAAATGCAAAGGAGTATAGAGGGGTATGGAGGACAAACGTATTACTGAGGTTCCATCATTTATTTAAAAGAAATTTTAAAAAGCACAAAACAAAGAAGAATATGAAATAATCAGTGTTGACTGTTGAATGCCAGAAGTGTGTTCTTCTCTAAGCAGCTTGTAGCCACGATCTTCATTACCGTCTGGTGCTTAATGCCCCATAAGTCCTTACACCTGTAACTTTATTAATGGATTCATTCTATTTCATTGGGAAAAGAAACTAATTTAAAATGCTAAAACATCATTATTGTTTCATTGGCAATATTTTTCATTGTTACTAAAAATAAAAAGCTGATAATTTGTGAACTATGTAATGACCACTGCAACATACTACAATTTTAACAGTGTCTTCAATGCATTTGAAGCAAAGTGTTGCAGGATCAAGCCCAGTACTGTACATATCTCCACAGTAAGTCTGTTTAATTTAGAATCCTTAAGGGTGTCAGAAATGTCTTTAGCTTTCAGTATGCCCTGCAAGCACTGTGGTTTCTTGAAAATAAATTACAGGCTTTATGATTGCCAGAGCCAACCGTTAGCTTTTCAGGAAAAGGATGCAATCATCCTTCCCACAGGCAACAGCATGGTTTCAGACTGCAGTGGAATGGAGGATGATGATTCTAATTGCAACCTTAATTTGCCACTCTGCTGCTAGTGGATGAGATGTTTTGAAATAAAACATTTCCTCTGCTAGGAATATTTCAAAGTAGAAATAGACCCTAATCATTGGTGAACATCAGATTACACTTTTTATGAACTTTTTTCCAGCCTGATATATCACTTCTGCTATATTACTAAAAGATGAGTCTGATAACACTCAACTGCTGTCAAGATCTCTTTAGCATAATGCCTGCATATGCACAGCACCAATGCAGTGTCTGATTCCTGGAACAGTAGGTCCCCCAATTACATTTACACCACAACCACAATTCTTTGGTCTGACATCAATGCATTTCATTAGTCAGAGAATTTAAAATCCAATATACTGTATACAGTAAAGTCATTCTAATGATACATTTATCTCTAAAAATAACACTTAATAGAAACTGTCATAAGATCTGCAAAGTTGAGACTACTTCTTTTCAAATACAAGTGATTTATCCTTGTTTTTTCTTGTACAGCATTAACAAACAGAATGCAAAACAGATGTCTGATTCAATCACAGGAGATAACACATCCTGTTAATGGCAAAGCATCTCCTATTACAAGATGCTAAATATCCCTTGGATAATCTCAAGATGTGGTGATCATATTTACAGAGCATTAGTGGGTTGTTATACCAACTGCTGTCCTGCATTTTAACTAATAAGCTAACATTCTGTTTAATCAAGGATACCCATATTAAAGCCTGTAAATAGTGAATAAATATGTCAAGCACTTGTCTACTGTCAGGATAAGACTTTTGGGGAATCCTGGACAAGAATGTCTGCAGCTTTTCATTCCAATTCAGCTCTTGACCTAAATCAGCTCATTACTGACCATTATTGAGAGGAGCTGCTGCTTTAAAGAGACCTGGAAATCCTGGAGATGTAACGAACAGTTCTTTCCGGACCCTATGCGGACGACACAATCCGAAGAAGTGGGAAACAATAGGAAAAGGTCATACAGGGATACGGGGCTGAAAACAGGGGGGCGTGTCCAAAGTGCGCTGGTGCACGGGGAAGGTGTGGCCGAGGCAAACAATCCAAAATACAATCTATAGAGGGAATCCAAAATACAAGAATAAGTCCATTGCCAGGTGATCCATCCAAACAAAGAATTAAAACCATAAACCGGGTCGGAACCGGCGGACAGGGAACAGGAACAGAGGTTAAAACCTTAACGGGACCAGGCGCTTCCAGGTCCCGGACTCGCACGGTGCGGAAACCAGATGCAGAGCCAGGATGAGCGTCAGCGCCTGGCTTTTAAGATGGGCTGGGAAAAGGGATCAGGTGCACAGAAAATAGTCTTAAGTGAAAGGGCTGGAGCACCCTTAAGGATGGGGGACTATAATTGTGACAGGAGACACACTTCATCTCCAGGATAAGGTCTGCCCATGCCTTACTTACACCCCTGGCTGAGGGAAGACAGCTGTATTCACAGAAGCCAGTTACTGCAAGGTAACTGCAGTATTTCAAGGTGTTTTGCAGTAGGACAAATTACTGTAAAAGCAAAAGATTAAAAAAAACTGTGTGTACACAAAAATACATTTAACAAGTTAAACAGAATTAAAAGCTAGTGTAATAAAGTGAGTATTAAGACAGGATTTAATTCATGTAAGATCTAATAGGGGCTGGCAGATAATGCCAGTCTTAGAGCAACAGAACAGAGAGCACATCTGCTGTGGTTCAGAACTTTCAGTTTTGGGAACTGAAAGAAGGACAGAATCAGAAAAGTACAAACGTGGTGGAGATGTACAGTATAGGGAGTTAAAGGGGAACTGCAGAGCTGTTTTTGTATTTTGGAGTTAGAATGAATCAGCATTTATGAGTGCATTTGAAACCACAATAAAAGTAAAATGTACACAGCAAACTGTAAAACCTCGAATTTACATCACAAAATAGATAACATTTCCATGTGTAGTGTCATGTTCTGCGATTCAGACCGACACAACAAAACTCTATGACATTGTAAATAAGCAGGCTTGTGAATCCATAGAACTATTGCTTTAGATTTTGAGACAACTACTACTTATCTGTAAATTCTGCATGCAAATCATGTTGGAACATTTCTGCGGTGAAATGTCTACCGTACAACCTGTACTTATTTGCTCGTACATCACCATACATCTGTCATTACAGTGACTAGTGAGCAGGAAGGGCTGCATCATGTGGCAATTCATGGGAGCTCAAATGTGCGTTTACAACAACATGGCGACTTACTACACTATCACATAGTTTATGATTTTGTGCTTTATTTGAAATGTGTAAAATTTTATCAATGGATTTATTTTGTTACCGAGATTTAAGAACTAGCCTGGGGACTGCAATATAATGCAATATACCCACTGATATAGTCAGGTGCCAAAACCCTTCAAGCACTTAAAGGTAAGAAGCAGTAGTTTGAATTGTATCCTGTTATCTACAGGGAGTCACTGCCTGTAAGCTAAAACAAATGACATATGCTCAAACATCTTATTTTAGTTAAGATCCAAGCATCTGAGTTCTGAACATATTGTAATGCATTAAGAAAATATGTAATTATACAAGCAAGCACTGTTTTACAATGATCAAGCCTGGAAAGACAAATGCAAACATTAGCTTCAATGCATCAGTCTGGTATAAACATGAATGGATATAAACGATAGTATTAACATAAAAAAGAGAATATTGCAGACAGGTCCAGTCAAAACAACACCATATTTCCTCACCTGTGTACAGTATATGGACTGGTTGCAACATCACCAATAGTAAATAAGTTCATAAAGCTGATAAAAAAAACAATCAACATACCTTTTGTAAGAGTTCAAATGTAAAAGTTTGTGTTTGAACTATTTTTTAAGTCATGTGAGCAGTGTGGCAAGACAGTGCTTGATGAATGTCAAGTTTCATTTCAACATATATCTGGGAATCATTAGTATAGAAATAAAATCTAATACCATACCTACATTGTTAACATACTATATTACCAAAAAGAATGGGACCAAGAACACAGCCATGTGAGACTCCAAATGTGAGTGGCTTTGAGAAGACAATTTCATAAATTCAATAATATTTACTGTAAATCACAAAAAATCAATTTTGGTAGTATCAACAGCCCACTCTAATCGCTTCAGCAAGATAGGATAATCAACAGTTTCAAAAGTAATTCCAGCAGCAAAATAACGAATGAAAAAACATTGGTAGCAGTCATCAGTAAATCTTCAATAACCTTAACAAGAGCTGTTTCTGTACTAAGCATTACTCTGTAACAGAGTAAAATGACTCATAAAGCCTATTCACAGATACATGAGCTTGTAACTGAAAATCAACAGCCTGTTCTAGAACTGCAACAAAAAAAAACGTAGGTTAGGTATTATCTAATAATTACTAAAAAGGGTGAAGTCTTACCTTTTAAACAAAGTTATATATTTTTAACAGAGAGATAATAACCGCAAATTAAAGGGCTGGGGAAAAGTTCCAGACCTTAAAGATTCGTTGATGATACAGTGTGTGTGACAGTGGGACAGAGAACAGTAGAATTTAGTTTTGCTATTTAGAATTTAGTTTTGTGTCTAGCAGAAAATACACGAGAGTTTCAGTCCTGGGAAAGACAGATTCACTCACATCAGACTTATGAAATTCCCTTAGTTACCCATTCACTCAGAACTCTTCAGTTTCATGCTGTCCTAGATATTGTAGCAGAAGATACCCAGGTGGACATCTGTATATTTTGCTACTGGAACATACAAATCAAGAACAAAGTATTTCACAAAAGCAAAGGAAAAGAAGGTGGAAAATACAAAAAATAATTAATTTAGGAAAAAGCATAACATGATGTACAATGGAGGAGGCAAAAAACAGGAAAAAAGCACAAGAATTTTGTAAAGAAATGATTTGGGTATGAATGTATGAAAGAAAAAGTATTTCCTTATAATTGCTTCTCTTCTCTTTTAAAGTCTCCTGACATAAAGCCTGCCTTGTTGGAATGCATGGCACATTGGCACTGTGTGTTCAAAGCCACCTTCCTTTTGCAGTCATTAAACTTTCTGTCATCCAATTAAACAGTCCTGAATGTGTTCCAGGTTGAGGTTAAGATGTGGGAGAGACTTGAAATAAGGAAGAATGAAAGTAGCTCTCTATGGGGA